GGGATCCTTCATCAGAGCAACAGATGAAGGATCCCTGTGCGGACCCGAAACGTTAGCACTGTATGACAGTATGTGACATTGGGTATTGAATAAACATATCAATACTTTAAAAACCCTTCAAGTGTGTGCCGGTGAATTACTTTTATTTACTATTAGTGTTTTGCACGGCGCCATCCGTGTGGTCACCTGGGCACCACATATACCTTGTGGTTTTGAGACCGTGGCAGTGCGAATGGGATTTGGACTTTGTTGTGATTATTGCTTATGACACACCAGTTGAGACCACTATGGAGAATGACTGGTCTTATTCTGTGATTTATATAGACCACTGTTTGTGTTTATGACTGGAGTCATGTTATTGACCTGTAGTTACTCTTCATACTGATTGGCTGATAAGTGTACTTCTAACATGGACGCGTTCCACTTCTGAACGCTATTATTCCAAATAGAGGGTACATTTATACAGCGGAATATACCTAATGGTAAACATTTTTTATCATTCTAGTTTAAAGTGTATGTACATGCTAACAATACATTTTTGTATTTCTTATGGTCTATTACAGATACATTCAAAAGCATTTTGTTATATCTGTTCAATAAGTACAAAAAAATACCTGTTCTTCCTGCCAGAAATCCAATGAGTTTATACCTTCCCATTGACTCTGCTGCATTATCTCAAGCCGTCTTACAAGTTACAAACAGTCTTACACGTGTACAAGATATGTCTGTGAACTAGAGAACACCTCCTTCTCCTCCTCTTTTCATCTCTTGGAGGGAGGCATTCTGTAGATCACCAAGGTAACTTGTAGCAAAGTTCCTGTCCTAGGGTGACTATACTGCTCCTTTATAGATTCGATACAGTGAGTGAGTGTTGTCACCTTAGGACAGGAATTGTGTTACTAGTTGGATCATCAGGTGAAAATAAAGTGAAAAGCCTGAAATAGAAAAGGAATGCAGCCACCACATCTGAGGGCCGGTAAGCTGCAATATTTTAGTTTTTTGGGTTTAGATATGCTTTAAGTCATATATAATCCATTTAATTAAAGCAAGAAACACCATGCAGGTATACTAAGGTTAAAAATGTTATGCCATTGATTGGATGATAGTGGTTGCATTAGAGCTGAACCCCCCGGGCAATTGTTTTTTTTTGGGGAGGGGACAGGAAATCCATCTGCCAGGCTGTAATTCCTATGACAATGAAATAAGATATACTAATTAGCACAATGCGTTTACCATTTTTTGTTGACTTTGAAGATGTTTTACTCAGAATTCACATGCACATTATTACATCATAATTCTGCTCATCAATGACAAACATTCTGTGAGCTTCCAGAGAAGCTGTGATTATGCAATGTCTATGATTTCCCATATGAGTAAGTGGAGATAAGCGTCTTCATACCCCCCCGCCCCCATAAAATATATATATATGTGTGTGCATTTTCCCTTTAAGATCACTTAATAAGCAATATTTATGTGATCAATGTTTTATAAAGTCACCTCCTGGATGCATGCTGTGTTTATGTATGACTCTAAGGCAGGGCTGGGAAACTCCAGTAAACTAGAGGAGTCGTGACCACTACAGTATTGCTCTTGGCTCATATTTGTGTATATTCTATAGATCACTATGGCTGCCGACAGCCTCTGGCTCCTGATATTGTTTGGCGTAAAATGCTTCCTTAATAGTTCTATGAAGAGATGAAGAGCATATAACGCCACAGAGTCCGTTTCATTATTTAGCTTGTTCTCTTCACAAATCTAGAGATAAGAACATCCATCACAGGGTCTCTCACATTCACATTCTCACATTCACACACACACGTGTTTCTTTGTGTGTGTATGTGTTAACGTGACAGATTTCAAGGGCCCAGATCTTAGAGATGGATTTCGAAATGATCATGATTTTCGACATTGATCGACTTATAGAAGAACTCCGGCCAGTACTATTTTTAACCCCTGCTTGTTATCGTCTAGGTGCTAAAATAAAAAAAGGCTATACTCACCTGATCTGAGCCAGCTTGCTCTTAGACAGGTTCCTACAGCCTTGCTTCCCCTCCGCGGCAGTGGTCTAGGGTCCCTGAGTCATCATGTTTTATACATGTGTATAGGATGTGAGGATGCCGGGGGACTTACCATCGCTGCCGTGTAGGAGAGCGACTGGAAGGAGGTCTGTCACAGCCAACCGGCTCCCGAGTATCAGGCCAGTATAACTTTGTTATTTTCCTCCCTAGAACAAAAGGAGCAGTTGACCCTTGCAGTGCCCCACTGCAAGGGTTAATACAAGTTTTGCCTGGAGTTCCTCTTTAACTTAACACAATATAATTGGTATTATGGCATTTACATTTGGATTTTGACTCCTTATTCTACAGTTTCCCTAAAATGAATCCCTGTAGTGGTTATCTGTATATCGTGAAATGAGATGAACATCCGTGCCTAATGACTGGTGAGATAAGCTTGATAAAAGTCCCTATTTGAAGCATTGCTTGTGATTATCAGGCCATGTCTTCTCTCCTTCAGGATTGTGCTCAGTATTGTACAGGAATATTCTCCAGCACTCCTGACCGGAATCCCATAAGATAGATGGGTGCTCGTATGACCTGCGGATGGCGCCGCGTAATCACAGAAATGTCCAAAAGAAGTCACTCGCACTCCAAGGTCCAATGTGCTGAATGCCTCTTCTATTCAGACGTTATACAGACTCGGTGGCACAGAGTAAAAGCAACGTTTCGGGACCAAACATGGTCCCTTCATCAGGCAAACACAGTGACAGGTGATCTTCCTGTAAGTGGGTCCTGATCCTTTACTGTTCTGTACAGATCATAAGTCCTTAGTGTGCGCCAATATTAACATTGCTCAATGAAATGAAACCCTGACCCAGAATCAGGTTGTCTGTAAATGAATTAAGTGCTCTGGGAGAGAGACAGCCGGAGGTGAGCAGGGCAATCAAGGCAAGTTCAATCTCTTGTTCAACTGGTGTGAGAATAGGCAGAGATGACCCAATAAGAAGATATCTGCCCTTCATTGGCCAGCATAAGCCTTGTAGAGTCCAGTTTCATGTACGTCAGGCTTGCACTATTAGGCCCCGTTCACACTGAGCGATTTATCGTGCGGTAATCCGCGCGATATCGCGGATATTTACCACGCGATATCGCTCTCCAATGCATCTCAATGGGGCTCTGTCCGTTCGCTGTCGCGGGTCGTGCGTCGCTACAGCAGGACCCTTTTTGGAGCGGATTTTGCCGCGATTCTAGGTTGCTCAATGCAACCATTTGCGCGATATCGCGCGACAAATGTGCAATATCGCGCAAAATGCAAATCGCGCGACAAACGTGAAAGTGTGAATGGGGCCTTAGGAGGAGTAATCAAACACAATCATTGTACCACGTAACAAAGCAGGAAGCGGAGCCTGCATATGTAATATGCCTGTATATTTACAAACTGTACACAAAATAAATGATCTTTAAACATTTTCAGTCACTAATCAAATGATTTACATTAAAGGGAATGTGTATTGAGAAAACAACTGTCTCCTCCTGACTGTCCTCTATTGGAACACGCATACAACAAGTACAGCCAGCTATAGCAGCATCATGTCCCTGGAAATTACTTTAAAATACAGACACCTGTTTGGATTGGCAAATAACATAAAACATATTCTACTCTGCACTTCTTTTATTTGGTGGGACCAAGATTCTGCAGTATTTACCAGTGAAGAGAATTAAGACGTCAGGCCATAATTGGTTCTGAAAAGTGACAGGCCTTAAAGGAGATGAAATAGTGGCAGGGAATGTGCAGGAAGATTGGATTATAACACCTATTAACCTCGGCTTGTCTAGAAGTGCCCAGACGTAAAGCAGATTTTTGCCAGTGGCACACTTGGCTGCGCTCCTCCCAGCCAAGCTGTGGTTTTCAGGGCATTGCCAGGATTCTTCGCTCGTTCACTTTTCAGCATTGCGCATTTTGCACATCTCACCCATTCTATTTATACATTCTTCCGAGGGGACAGTTTGTGTGCTCTGTCCTCCCACTCTACAGATAGCTCATTCTTCCTTGGTAATGAACACCTTCCCTGAATCCCAAACCACTCCGTCTCTGTCACCCTGTTGTGTGAGGATGAAAGCAGAGAAAGAGGACACTGTGCCTTGATGGATGGCCTCCTAAATGGCACTTGTAACCCAGATGACTGCTTAGTGAAGATTAGCAGCTAATTGTCGGATATGTTGGGGTTAAGTGTTTTAAAGGAAGCATTGTAATTGTTACCATTTCTAAGTAAAGCTGCCCATGCATTAGTAGACTTTTTTAAAATTCTCTTTGTCTCCATCTAGTGGCGGAAATGCCATGTGAATGGCAATCGCCCATCTATATGCTGGGCAGAAAGTTTATACATCAGCCCCTAAGTGAAAGACCTTTACATGGCAATATGTTAATTTGCTCCTGTGTAAATTGGCCCTCGTATGTATTCATGTGAGACAGGGACCATAGATTGTAAGCTCCTTGAGGGCAGGAACTGACGTGAATGTGCACTGTGTAAAGCGCTGCATACAAATTGTTGGCACAATATAAATACCAATATTAATAATAAAAATTCCCATATGCATTAGTATGCAATAACCCAACACATTTAAAAAACTATATTTCATTTATAAATACCTGTTTTTTAATTTAAATCTCAGTCCTGGAATGTAGCGGGCGGCCATGTTTGAAGAGGGCAAATGCTCCTCTTTCTGGGATTTCGTCTGCCGTCATCAAGAGTAATTCCCGTGGCTGTGCTGAGTCACTAGGTTCCACAGCCACACCCCCTTTAGATGATGCGCCACTACTCTCGCGCATGTGCATCTAATAAAAATAAAGGAACATGACTGTGAGATCAAAATCATGTGAGATCTCACGGCCATTGTCTTTTCTTTTTTTTTGTTTTTCATAACCGAGACGTAAATTCAGTGACAAGGCAATCCCAGTGTGCATCACTTTGGCACACTGACACCATTTTTGCCCTTTCAAAGCAGGAAGTGAATGCTCTGCAAGTGTAAGTACATCAAAATGACAGCATTTTACACCTGACATGTTATTATTAATCATCATAAATAAAGGGACACATTAGTAGATTGTGAATTTTGAGTCTAAAGGTCCGCTTTAATGATTCAACTGCATAAAAATCCACAATTAATGCCAGCCGTATCTGACGATATGTTAAGGGGTGGAAACATTTGTGACTTTTGCACACAAATTGCAGTAAACATCAGTAATATACATGTAGTAAATTCAGCGCTTCTGTGTGATAAAACCTTAAGGGCCCATTCACCCTATTGCTCTGCATTAGCAAACGTGTAACATTAAATTAAGGCAGCATGAATAGGATATCCAATGGGGTACCTCCCGCTCCAAAATGCACAACAATTGGTGCATCTAACATTTCTGGCAGTGCAGTGTAACACTCATTGTCAAGGGTTGCAATGCACTACATTGCATGCCCATTAGCAATATGCATTGGAGTGGCATTCAGAATAAAAGGCACGGCATCACATCAACGCATGTCACATATGTTGCGGTAAAGTGCATGTTACTGCAACACACCAGTGTGAATTGTCCCTTAGTGAATTGGAAACATGATTTTCAGCCTTCAAAATGAACAAACAATGCATGGCTCCCAAATGCCCCTTCTTTGGATGGACTGTCCCTCTTTTTGGAACTACGTCCCTCTTTCCCTCTCACTTGTCCCTCCTTTAAGTTTGATATATAGACCTCTATATAAATAGTCAATATAACTATTGAAAGTGTTATACTGTACCAAACTTGTTCACAGTTGTCCGTTGAGCTGCATATGGTATGAACAGGCCATATAGAAAGCATTTGTCTTCTATGTGCTCAGTTCACACCATGTACGTGCAGCTCAACTAATATGGTGTTAACAAGCCCTAAAGGAATAAGAAGTGTGCATTTTTTGCATGTACTATATCTTAGTAAAGTGACCTCAGTTTTATTAGCTCCTGATTGTTCTGCTGGGGATAACTATATAAGCACACGAGCAGAACAAAAACACGGCGTATTCCCTGTAATGCTGTGCTTTAAATCTAAAGCTTCTGATATGGTGTGAAGTCCCAGTCACAATGCACTGTAAAGTAATTTGAAATCGTGATATGACATTGTTTTGAAGGAAACGGTGAGGTAGCCTGGGCCTGCACTCAGGTACTCAGGTGGTGGTCTTCTCGGGGTTCCAGTAAACCTTCTGTTCTCTGGGGACACGGGCTTGCAAGAGGCCTGTCTCCTAACCTGGCAAGGCTGGAATGTGCTTCTCAGGGCAATGTAACAGGAAATTCTATGTGTGTTGAAAGCTAGGATAAAAAGCATCTGCAGAGCTGCCCCGCGGGATGTACTCAGCCTGAGGGGGCTGTGAAGGCTGGGTTACATTAGGGTTAAGGCTGCCTCCTTTCCCCCTCTTCTGGTTATTTTGGGCTGTACTAAATTAGTAGCACATGTCACTGTGATACTCACATTCAACTTCCTTTAGTCAAAGGCCCAGCCTAATAACAGGAGAAGGAGTAATGAAATCCCTCTGTATTAAAAGGTCTCATATGAGCATATTAACATCCATCTTTACTTTCTTTTAAGAACTGCTCACAAGTTGCGTATTGCCGGTATACTTTGAAGTATACCTGTCTCCTGCACATATGGCGGCATGCCATTTGTAGCCGTAGTTCTCTACCAAGTCTAGTATGCCATAGCTGTGTGACAACAGCTATGGCATACTAGACTTGGTTGAGAACCGCGACTCCAAGTCTTTTGTCCTTGAACAGATGTGGTGCACGGGGTAGTGTACAGATTTTCTTACAATCCAGGACCCCAAAAACTGATCTGAGGATGGTAAGCCATGGGTGGCACACCATTTATATATAACAGTGTTAACAAGTGAGCAGCCTTTTGGTTCAAAGGAAATCATTAGCATCGCTGTGGTCTACTAAAGTGCAGCCACACAGCTAGATAGCTGAAACACATAATATAGGTGCTCTTTTAACTGGCAAACGATATGCAACGTGATGTAGGTATTCGTCTGATCTACCCACACTTGTTATTGTACATTCCTGGTACCATACCTAGTATCAGATGCGTACCACTAATGAAACTTTTCAAAGCTTGCACATCGACAAACTTGGTCCCACTGCCTTCCTCCTCAATTTTTAAGAAATGAAATGTCAAAAGTAATAACTGTTTTTGGCTTATTTATGGTATTAAAAATGCAAGCTTTTGGGATAAGTTAGATCGAAATTTTGCATTAAGAACTGTAACTCTCTCTTTATATACAGTATATATTTGTGTGTATATAGATATATATATTTATTTATTTATTTGTAAGATAGAGCAGGCTGATATGGGTGAAATACAAATGAATCACACTGTATACAATCTAATAAAAATCATCGTAGTTGTATAACAACTTACGACAACAAGGATCATTGTGGCATTGCATAATTCCTATGCAAACATTTGCCAAAATCAAAACAAACCTATTATTTCTTTTACAGAAGTAGGTTTCCATGTATGCTTCTTGCTGATAAATATAAGTGCTGTATATGTTTACAATGATTACTGACCTTTGGGCCTCCACATCTCCTTGAATTAGTGTAGTGTTTCTATAAAAAAACCTCCGTGTAGGAAAAGGGAAAAGGTTCATGGAGATGTCAGAAGCATTCAGAATAACCCCCATACCTTATGTGCAGTTATTACATAAAGAAAAAATGGTCGTATGTGGCAGGTATTAGATAATCTATATACTGTATACATATAAATACCCGGCATACAAGAATATGTTATAACTTGTTTTTCTCTTTTTTTCTGCAGCCGTTGAAACACAAAGCACCAGCTCAGAGGAGATGGTCCCTAGCTCTCCCTCACCTCCTCCACCTCCACGTGTTTACAAGCCTTGCTTTGTGTGCAATGACAAGTCCTCTGGCTATCACTATGGAGTCAGCTCCTGCGAGGGTTGCAAGGTGGGTCATCACCTCCAGTCATATATGTCTATTTATTACTAATGCTTCGTAATAGAACATAGTTAGTGAAGCCTCTGACACACAAAATTATTGTCAATTTTCAGTCTTCCTCAGACTTTTCCTCATTGGAGAAATCACCAAAATTATCTTTGTCAGGAAAAAAAAGAGAACAGTATCATGTTTGGACATAAGTAAAGCCAAGTTAAGTTACAAAACTGCTTTACATCGTGTACACATAGCAAAGTACCCCAACACAATTCTTTTTTCGCCAAATTATTTGGCAAGACGTAGACATACTACTCAGCATCTCCATTTAGAACCTCCTGTCTGTGAATCACAACACAGTACTTTAAGTCACAGCTTGCAAAACATCTGAAACACTGATCACCTTGCAGCTTCTGAAGAAGATCTCATATGAGTCATTATTTGGGCTCTGAAGAAATACTGTCACATATACATTGTTAAAAAACAAAAGAACTAAGACTTAATAAAAAAAAAATAGGCAAGAGAATTAAAATGTTTATATTTTAAGTGCAATACTGTATTGTCCTACCACACTTTTAAGGTGTCAGCACACGGTTCTCCTCTCTTCTTGGTGGGGGCCTGCTTAGTAAAGCTAACACAAACAACTAGTATTACAGAGTCAAAGCTTGCATGATGCTATAAATAAAATGTATTTTTAATACAATTCACAGCAAAAAGAAAGTATTTGTAAGCGTTGGGTTTCTTGGCTCAATGTGCCCATCCAACGATGGAGTTGGGTGAGAAGACAACAAGAGTCAGGGACATGTGCCTAGTCATCCTTCAGACACCCCTTTAGTTTTTTATATATGAACTTTATTTGATCTTTGCATTGTATATATTGGACAAAAATAAATAGATTAATATTGCTCGGAAGTTGTAATTTTTCTGTTACACTCACATCATCATTGGACCATAGTCATTAGAATGCAGGGTGCATATTCATGGGTTGCAGCTTCATTTCAGAGCCTAAGGCTGCTACCTTGTACATCAAGTAATGAAACATGTCCTCCCTATATAGATTGGCAGAACATACTTTTCAATAGAGCCTATCACCAATACATTGTAGAGTTATCCATTTTTTGGGTTGAACCAATATCCAGCCTAACCATTCATGAGTCTCCAGATGTAGTGCCTTAAGACACTATAGGCTGCTTTCTCAAAAATATATCTTCAATGACTGTTCAGTCTGCATGACAGGTCTACTTTCTTTTACTCTTTTTTTCTGCTACTGCTTTGACTAATAACTCTCTCCAACCCTCTTTTTCTCTGCCATTGTCTCAGTATCTCCATCTGCTAGAGTTTACTCTCCCTCCTCTCATTTGTCCCCCTCGCTGCATGCCATCAAGCATTCATCATCTGTGTCTATTTAAAATAATCAATGATTTCAACTCATTGCTGCATTCCCAGATCCCATACTAACAAGCTCTGCAGAGGGGCCATACAAAAGAAAATGGAGACTACTTTATAGTTCTGCATTGTATATTCAACAGCAAGCAGTCCCAAAGTCTTATTGATGGGTATAATATGTGACGTCTTTGTAGATTTTCTTCTACATGTTTTGCAACATTTTCTTAGGCTGATTTGAGGCTGATTCAATAAGCATTTGAGGAGGACATGTTGCTTGGGCAGCCTCTACTTTCTACTATTACTTCATAATGACTGTGTGAGACAAGGGGATCTACAGTATATGTTAACAATGGACCTGAGTCACTCACTGCTAGATCAAAGAAGTAAACATTTTGTTAGGAAATTCATTAGCCCCATTCAGCATAACTTTTACCATTCAGTCTCTGAAGGCCACTAAAATTATGCATGCAAGGCGTAGTCAGTTAAGATCATGAAAATTTTTTTATCGGACAGGTGTTAGTAACATAGATACAATCTTAAATCTCTCATTTTAAAAAAAAGTGTCTGGCTGGAAAACCACACGAGTGAGAAATGCCACAGAATACAGTTCACTATGCTATACTAGGGAACAAAATGGCAAATCTTTTGAGAAATGAACCAAAGCGTCAATCCATATTTGGCCGCTAAATTTCCATTTCTTTGTCACAGTGTCCTTCTGTTTGACTGACTCTCGAACATCTTGTAAATGTTACCACTATCATGTTTCTTCACTAACGCAAAGAGAAAAGTGTAATAACCCATAACAACCAATCAGAACAATTCCTTGATGTGATGGACTGTAAGCTGCAATCTGAATTGTTGTTATTGGCTACATTACTTGATGAAGTCTCTTTGCACTGGTTTATTAAATAAGCGTGTGTGTGGATTTTATTATGTCCATCATTCCTTTTGTCTTACACTCATTCCATCCGGTCACCTCACACCCTTCCCTCTCTCCGACAGGGTTTCTTCCGTCGCAGCATACAGAAGAACATGGTCTACACTTGTCACCGTGATAAGAACTGCCAGATCAACAAGGTGACACGGAATCGCTGCCAGTTTTGCCGTCTACAAAAATGTTTCCAGGTCGGCATGTCAAAAGAAGGTGAGTTATGGCAGCATTCAATCATACACTGCATGGGGTGTAGAAAGAAAATAGATCATTCCAGCAAAAGAGGGGTCAGGCCTTTCACACTGGGCTTTCAGCTGGTTAAAGCTGTGGACTCCGCATTCCTTGTAATCCCAACACCTCATTCTGTCCCATGGGTGCTCATGTAAATAGATACTTTACAAAGAGAGGCTCCTCGATTCTGGATTCCAGAAGGATAAACAAATACTCAAGTAACAATCCTGCCCCACGCCTATCATCAAAGTGAGAAACTCTTTATTCTTCTTTTCCATGGGGAAAGACTAAAAGAAAACTACAGCATGTCAACCCTGCCACCTCTATAATGTCAGATAGTGAGAAAAGTACAATGTAGAGCAGACTATAGGAGGATATACATTATAAAATATACCTTATTAAACATTAGGGCAGATATAGGAGATTTGGGCTGAATAATGTTCTTTATAGTTTACCATGAATATTCATCACCTGCTATCTCCTGTTCCTTAACCTGTGTTCTCATATAAGTGAGTTGTAGGATTACCCTTGCTAACTGGCGGCACATCCATCATCCTCTCCTTGGAGCCATACTAGACATGGCAGACAGGGAGTCTGTATTTGTATTATTGTCATTCGCTGTTAGGTCTTTACATACGCTATACATGTTCTTTTGTTCAAGTGACCTCACAGTTATATGCACACAATTCTTATGTATTGTTCCTCTCTGTTTCCTTTTCATAGTCTTTACTCCTAGTCCTCTCTTCCTTGTTAACATGCAGGTTGTCTCCATTTAGCTCTTCTCTTTTCTGTCATCTGCCAGGATTAAATTTACATTGTTCTACATTGTGCAATCTATAGTTACCATTTTATTTCCCTGTATTTTTCTGTACCTGCTATTGTATTAATCCGCCTATTTTAAAAAATGTTGCCTCTATTTTCCTCTCTTCGACTTGCTTTCTTTCTCCACTTTTCATAACTATAAATTTTCTGCTATTTTGTTTTTCTTGTCTCTTCCTCTGTTTCTCTACTTCCTTTTTGCTTATTTTGGCCTCCTTCCTATTGTTCCCTCTCTGCTGTCCGCTGTTTTATTTACTCCCTTCTTTCTCTTTCTCCCCCTCCCTTACTTTATGTTCCCCTCTCTATCTATCTCTTTCTTTCTTTCTTTCCCCTTCTCTCTCTCACTCTCTACCTTTCTGTATCTTACTCTCTACCTTCCTCTCTCTCACACTCTCTACCTTTCTCTTTCTCACTCTTTACCTTTCTCTCTCTCACTCTTTACCTTTCTATCTCTCACTCTTTACCTTTCTATCTCTCACTCTCTACCTTTTTCTCTCTATCACTCTTTACCTTTCTCTCTCTATCACTCTTTACCTTTCTCTCTCTATCACTCTTTACTTTTCTGTCTCTCACACTTTTTACCCTTCTCTCTCTACTTCTCTCTCTCTCTCTCTTCCTCTCTCTCACTCTCTACCTTCCTGTCTCTTACTCTCTACCTTCCTGTCTCTCACTCTCTACCTTTCTCTCTCACTCTCTACCTTTCTCTCTCTCTCTGTCTAGATCTAGCACTTTCTAATCCCATCTCCTTTTTTATTCTCAATGTCTCTCTCTTTCTACCTCTCTCATTTTCATTTTGCCCTCTCTAGCCCCTATCTTCTTTCGGCTTAGTATGTGTGCCCTTCTCAGGCTATAAGTGGGTTTCCGGCGCCTGGCTTCCTGTTGTTAGGGTCCTGCACACTTTATCCCGAGGTGAAAAGGAAGTTCACAAGGAAATGTGTGAGGAAAGTCAGGACACAGGGGAGTAGGGTGAGAGAGAGCAGCACTGTGACATGTACAGTAGGGAGAAATGCAAGTAAGGTCCTCTCCCTAAAGGTAAACTTTACTTAACAACAGAAATAAGTCAAATTGTACTGCTGCAAAGCAATGTCAGGGTTTTTCTGCCTTAGTATGCATTTTATATGTGTGCTTTCGTTTCTTTATGTCACACCGTGTCGCTTTTGTAGTAGTGTTACTTCTGGTACACATCCTAGGCTGCTGGAATAAAGAGGCAGCAGTGAATCTTAATATTCCAGGTTACTGAATGCCCTCGTCATATAATATGTTTATTCAAAGACTGTTTCGTAGAAGTTAATAAGCTTGTTACAGGGCACTTTGCCCGATATATTTGCTCTGGATTTGATTTGTCGCTTGTCTTTGTCTTGGTGATTTTGAAGAATGTTCAATTTGTCTTTCTTCTCCGTAAATGTATACAGTGGTTGGTTTTCAGAAAGATATATGGCAGAAAGAACTTAGAAGAGACTAGGGATTTAAAAGAGCAGTCAGATCATCCATCTCTATCCCCTGCGGTGCTTCAAACCTACCACCTGCAGGCACAGACAAAGGTCACATTTCAGGGTTAAAGTTCAGGCCAGGAGATATTTTGTATTGATGCTCAGACAGCAGACACAAGTCTACTATGCTCTTCCCCCGAAAAATCCAGTGTTGCCTCTAGCAGAGATTGATTGTGACACTTCCAAAAAAAGACATCTGACCCTAATATGTACAATATGATCATCATGAATTTTAATTACATTCCTCTGGCTTTTCATCATCTTTTATCCACTTAAAAAACATTTCCCGATTAAAGTGGCTTAAAAAATTCATCATCAATGAGTGAAGATCCGGTAGTATGTGAAGGAGTATACCAATACTGTGGAATAACCTTTTTGTTTCTTGCATTTAAGTGCTTACCTCAAAAGGCCACAATGTCCAGTTTTTAGGAAAACTTACAGACGTCTCCAGATCTTCATTTCTTACCAAAGGTTAGATTCCTAACAACTGGCAGTAGTTGAAGGGTTTTTCATACTTTAAACAGAAAGTAGACCTCTGTACTGACAAGGAGTGGGTCTCCTAAGTAAATGCCATCTCCTACAACCTGATGTTTGTATTGGTTTAGAGAGCCACAACCACTTTTAAAACTGCAATTCCTGCTTTCATGCTGCCGGTGAAATGTCCACCTGGCCAGTGGTTAGAGTGTTACTAAATTTAGAGATCTGAAATGGGTTCACTTCTGGGTAAGGAAAAATAAAGAGTTTAAAAGAGGAAACAGTTTTGCACTCTCTAAAAGCAAAGATCCTCTGGAATAATATACAGGTAGTCAAAAGAGTCATGTCAGTAGGGGTTCACCTTGGTTTTATTGAAGGCCACACACACATTAGAAAGGTTAACGCAATTGTCCTTCTATTAATTGAACCACAGTTTTAAATTGTAGTGTAATTATTACTGGCAATACATGCTGTGAACTGCAGTTGTAAACAGCCGCACCAGCTAGAGGTCAGCATAGAGTCTCTATCATGCCAAATTAATGACGACGTAGAGGGTGTTCACTAAAAGGTAACACCATAGCTCCTTACTGCTGGTCTCTCTTTTGCAAGCAAATCACTCTTTTCTCCTAGGTTGTCCCAATTTTGGGACTGAAGTGCGGCCCTCTAAAAAATGTAATATTTAACCACCAAAAGTGATACACTACGCTATTCCTTGCAACCTCTAAATTATTGCATTTGTTATTTTGAAAAGCCATAAAAAAGGAAAAGTAGAGTTGCTTATTTCATCGACCCTTTATTGTTCGGTTGTGTTGTCCCTGACCGAACCTATATTGTTGTTCTGCTCTTTTTTTTTCCACACAAAATTGCTCAATAAAAACTGTTGAAACTAAAAAGAGAACAAAATAGATAATACTATTTAGTAATATTGTGTTTGCTTTTTTGATAGTCAAAAAAAAAAAAAAGGAAAAGTAGTGATGAAAAATAAAAGAACTTGTGGGTATAACCATTCATTTTTGGTGTTTTACTTCTTCATGGTTCATGTAACTGGGGGAGTGGTAGGGTTGTGTCCATTGCCTAAATACTTTTTTGCTAAAAGATGCCCCTCTTTATCATCCCAGGAAGTTGGGCAGTTGGCGTAACATGAGGATAACTGTACACTTTCTTACCCTTGTGTTTTGTGCAGCGGTGCGAAATGACAGGAACAAGAAGAAGAAGGAGGTGAAAGAAGAGGTGGTGGTACCAGACAGCTATGAAATGCCTGCTGAGATGGAAGAGCTTATTCAGAAAGTCAGCAAAGCTCATCAGGAAACCTTCCCTTCTCTCTGCCAGCTTGGCAAATACACTACGGTAAGACCTGTGGGCTGTGAATAACTACGCTCAATAGCGGCTGCCTGACTCAATAAAACCCTCCATTTCCGACAAGAGATTACAGAGAGGACAGAAAAATCTAATCAATTTCACTGCTGTAGTGGAAGGTAGTCCCAAATACAATAGCATGGTACAAACGTGGGGTATGTGATTGTTGCATGACCAGCGATGACCATTTTGTTTTATTGCAGAATTCCAGTGCTGATCACCGGGTACAACTGGATCTCGGTCTGTGGGATAAGTTCAGTGAACTCGCTACTAAATGCATCATCAAGATAGTGGAATTTGCCAAACGCTTGCCAGGCTTTACTACACTGACCATTGCTGACCAAATTACCTTGTTGAAAGCAGCTTGCCTTGACATCCTGGTGAGTAACGAGCAATTGGTAGAAGAGTTGCTGGTATATTCCTGTCTCCCTCTGCTCAGTCTTTAATTTTCAAAATAATCCTGATCATTCAGCATTACCAGTAGCTCTCAGCAAACAGTGCATCATTCCCTGAACTAGCCTTCATGTTATTGTGGTTCACCAAGCCTCATCAAATTCATCAGTCAGATAATTGTCACCTTATCTGCCCATTAGTGCTTTTCTTTTCTTACAGTCAGTAGTATATCTGCTTCAAATACAAATCTATGAACTTAGGCCTCATACAAATGCAGAAGTGCCCAAGCAATTTTGGGGATCTTATTCTGTTTAGTGGGCCAAGCCTGTCCTGGTGGGAGGGGTCCATCAGGGGTGTTAGTAAGTAGGTACACAACCCCACTACGCCACATTGATATATCGAAATTGAATGCTTCAATTGGCTGCTTGTGTGTACTGAGCTAGAACACTTATTTCTGGCCTAGAACTTGGTGATGTGATGTAAGGAATGAAGACTATATGTATGTGATGCATTTTTGGGTTAGGTTTTTTGGTTCCATGAGCACATACAAATGAAGCAAAAAACAGTACAACAATCCAGGTCATAATCAAATGGGCCAAAGAGGAACCATAAAATGTCCTACTAAAACGCTGCTCTTTAAGTGGGATGTGTTTACATAATGATTACAAAGAAGTGGTTTATACAACAAGTATATAGCTAACCATCCTAGCTCTAATCAGGACAAGATAAGGGTACAGTGGAGGATTTTAGTGAAGCATTTTGGCTTCCTTTGACCCACCTCACCACTTCCTTAATGGCCAACTTGTGGCTTTTCAAGCCCTACTTCCTAATAACAATGGGTTCCTTATTCTGTACTGATGAAAGCTAAAAAAGCTTGAAACTGTTTTCTGCAAGTTATATATGTATATATATATATGTTATATATGTATATGTTATCTCTATACTTTTGCTTGCATTTGCTCTATAAATCCGCTGACCTACAGGGTTCAAAGAAATGATTTGCATGGGAACATATACTAGCCTTGATTCAGCAAAAAAATATCTGTTTGGCTTTGTGATGACATGTAAATAGCTTTCGCTTTCAATGGATAATGTGGAAATGAGTGAAGGAATACCTGCTTGGGTTGCACAGTTTGAGTTACTTCTTCCTTATTTACAGTTCTCACACTTTTTTAACATAGTTACCAGAATAGAGGTTCTTAGTTTTAAATGTTCCATAGATCACATAGTAATAATTATCAAATAGTGATAATTAAAAGCACATCTGATACGGAAAGTACAAACACAAAAATCTTTTTTTTCTTTCCAGTATTTAGTCTGTCACACGTGAAACAGTGAGGTTGCCACGTGTTAAAATATGTCAGGGTAAAAAAACTTATTTGCTACACCTGTGCAATAAATATACATCTTTCCTTTAAAAATGCTGCAAGTGCAGAGAAATACCTGCTGATCTGCCAGAAATTCAGTGCGCTCTTAACTTCCTGTTAAGGCTGACAACTTGGTGCCTCTGCTTCAGTGAAATCCCAGCCAATGTTGTCAGCCTGCTTGCTGGACTTCAGAAGTCCTCCTACCCTTAACCCATTTCTGTCCCTCTCTACATGTATTTATTGATTTCATTTTCAGCAAAATAATGCTGCTGTTTCCAGCGACAGGAACAAGTTAAAATAACATTGAATGCTGAGACATGCTGTAGAAGGGGAGAGGGCTTAAATTCTGGTAATGCCCGGACAACCCCTTTAAGCCTGATCACATGTTGTACTGTCAGTAGTACTCATATGAATATGCCGATTCATAGCCTAGCAGTGATGTGTCTGATGCTGCTAACTGGAGTCAAAGTGCGAGTTTCCCACACATTATTTATATGATATTAGACATGCATCTGTGTTATTTGTATGTGCTGTCATTTACAAAGCAATCCTTATTTTCTAATGATAGATGCTGCGAATTTGCACACGTTACACCCCAGAACAGGACACCATGACCTTTTCAGATGGACTGACCTTGAACCGGACTCAGATGCACAATGCTGGTTTTGGTCCCCTTACAGACTTGGTGTTTGCCTTTGCCGGTCAGCTGCTCCCATTGGAAATGGATGACACAGAGACAGGACTCTTGAGCGCCATCTGCCTAATCTGTGGAGGTATTACACTCATTATGCAACCTATATTTAGACTATATCATTTTTAGTAAATGAGAATGTTTTGCCATAAACGAAAAAAGATAACAACCACAAACAGCAAATCTAAATTATAAACGATATAATTCCAGTAATAGTGACAATAGAGTAGTTTAGGCTGTTTACTAGTTGTTAAAATCTATTATTAGATCCTAAATGACATAAGTCATTACATTTTTATTTTTGCTTTAAGTATGCAGTTAGATTTACAGTTCTAGCTCCAGATAAATCTGTATTTATATCACTCCATTAGAAGGCTGCTGTCTTACCATTGATCCACAGAAGGATCTGTTCAGAAGTAAGTGTTAAAAAAGGAACAGATTTCAGGTTTTTTATGTTAATTTTGGTATATTTAATGGTTTATAGTTTTTCACAATGCCCCTGGCATTAATAAGCACTAGACATGCTGAAATAAGTAGTAAGTATTCCTCTTAGAATATATAAGAACAACAAAAGCATTGTAATTGTTTTAATACATTATATTTATTATTATTATTATACAGGATTTATATAGAGCCAACAGTTTGTGCGGCACATATATCTATATAGATATATACATATATCTGAATAACACATGTAGTCGTGTGTATTACCTTTGGTACTGATGCCACGCAGGTCGGTGATCTTCATAAGCATGCGTGGGAACATGTAGGGTTTGTTAGGTCGTCGTCTTCGAGCATAAAATTTAAGCGCCTCCAGTAATGGCTCCTGAAGCTTTTCTACCTTTTCTGGCTCTTCCAAGTCCATCCGATCTACGGGAGATAAATCAAAACCAATACTTTATATGCTGTAACCTTTTGTGTTAATAAAGCTCCTACAAGCCTCTATGCCAACCTAGTTACTGGCATTTGTGGTGACCACATGTGAGCAGCTGTGTCTGGATGCAGCAATGCTTTATACCTTATAGTAGAAGTAAACCCTAATGGGATAAAATTAGGTTTGTTATAGCACTATGTACCACAGACAACTGCCATGGATTTGTTTCTATAAAATGCTGTTTTCATAGTTTTTTTGTATCTTGGTGCTGCAGATTTGCTCATTATTCATTTATTATCACCACAGGATTCATGAGTGATATGGTGCAAACATAAATATATATAGATATATACATACATCTATATAGATATATGCATATATCTATATAGATATATGTATATATCTATATATATTTATGTTTGCACCATATCACTCATGAATCCTGTGGTGATAATAAATGAATAATGAGCAAATCTGCAGCACCAAGATACAAAAAAACTATGAAAACAGCATTTTATAGAAACAAATCCATGGCAGTTGTCTGTGGTACATAGTGCTATAACAAACCTAATTTTATCCCATTAGGGTTTACTTCTACTATAAGGTATAAAGCATTGCTGCATCCAGACACAGCTGCTCACATGTGGTCACCACAAATGCCAGTAACTAGGTTGGCATAGAGGCTTGTAGGAGCTTTATTAACACAAAAGGTTACAGCATATAAAGTATTGGTTTTGATTTATCTCCCGTAGATCGGATGGACTTGGAAGAGCCAGAAAAGGTAGAAAAGCTTCAGGAGCCATTACTGGAGGCGCTTAAATTTTATGCTCGAAGACGACGACCTAACAAACCCTACATGTTCCCACGCATGCTTATGAAGATCACCGACCTGCGTGGCATCAGTACCAAAGGTAATACACACGACTACATGTGTTATTCACTAGCTGTGTACAGAGATAGGCGTGATATTTTTACAGAAAGCTCAGCACCGCATTTTCAGTGTCCAGATAAAAGTCAGAGAGAGAAACTACTAACACCTTTTTACAATCATGATCTGCTCAACATATGCTATCACCCTTGAACAATATACAGCAGGATGTGGACATTAAAGCAGAACTAGAGCATTAATAATATACAGTGGGGCAAAAAAGTATTTAGTCAGCCACCAATTGTGCAAGTTCTCCCACTTAAAAAGATGAGAGAGGCCTGTAATTGGCATCATAGGTAGACCTCAACTATGAGAGACAAAATGAGAAAACAAATCCAGACAAATCACATTGGCTGATTTGCAACAAATTTATTTGCAAATTATGGTGGAAAATAAGTATTTGGTCACCTACAAACAAGCAAGAGTTCTGGCTCTCACAGACCTGTACCTTCTTCTTTAAGAGGCTCCTCTGTCCTGCATTCATTACCTGTATCAATGGCACCTGTTTGAACTTGTTATCAGTATAAAAGACACCTTTCCACAACCTCAAACTTCTAGATAATAATATAAGCATATACAGTAAACCCCTAGTTATGTGGCACCCAAGGGGATCGGTAGTTGCAGAAAAAACATAGTTTTCTGGTTGCCTGAGAGTTAACTCTCAAGCAGCCACCCTTCCGCTCCTCTGCTTAGTGGGCGGACACAATAACCAGCTTGCTACTGGCTAGAGCGATTTGAAATAGCCAATAGTAGGTTGGCTATTTCTCCCCATTGTTTACATTCTGCTGCCGACTGCGGAATCTAACCACCGGCTGTGACTTTTTTAGTGTACTGTGCACCAAGCAACTGAATTTTTTTTAATGTGCATCAAGCCACCGGCATGATGCACATTGCTTGAGAGTGTCGGTTGCTTGAATGCATCATAATGGGGAGTTTACTGTATATATAATCCCTGGCAGAGCCATGGGGATCCTGTAATACATTGTACCCACTACAGTGTATTACAGCAGCTTCGGGGTCCCTGCTATAGCCACTATGCTGAGCGACTTCCCCTTCCCCTCCGCTGTTAAAGCACAGAGAGTCACTAGCTGAGTGTAGCGGACATTCAGAGGACACTTACAGGGCTATTCACAAAAGGGTGGAGAAGGCAGGAGAAGTGAACAATCTAGGACAACATAGCTGATCTGGAATATGAGCTGAATTGGAGATTTCGTTCCAAATCGGCTATTTTGGCCTAGATTGTTCACGTCTCCTGCCTTCTCCACATTCTTCACCCTTTTGTGAATAACCCTGCTAGTATTTCTCTCAATAGAAGCTAGGCGTTCTCTAATTGGAGGAGGGGTGGTGATGTCACAATCAGAGAATGTCCATCATTCATTGAGAAAACTACTAGGCGTCCTCTGGTCGCTATTCTCAGCAAGCGATATTTTTAAAGCTGGAGTTCTACTTTAAGGCAGAATATTACTGAGGGAAAGAGAAATATCTCTGGCACCTAGAGACAGTCGGATTCTAGGGGAGGGATTAATAAAAAAAAACTGTCAAATTCTATCTTAACTGGTGTCTCAATCAGCTTCTATTTTTCATTTTTGCGCACAGTTTAGAAGATGAAAATTTAAAAACTGATCGGCTGCTCTCCAGCTGAGACAAAGTTTACCTCAGACACTTTATTAATTCCTCCCATAGACTCATTTTGGGTTATATTATTAAAGCAGAAATCTGAATGTTTGCTGTAAGGAAAACATAAATAAATCACACCTCGAGAAGCTTTAAAGAAAGCTATAAAAAGCTTGTAGGTGAGATTTGGAATGTGTTATGCCCTGTGTCTTTCTTACTAGTAGTATATGACTTGTCACGTGTATTGCACTTTTCTTTCTATCGGAATCGTTTATTGCTTTTGTTTTTGCATGTTCATTTTTGGATTGTGGATTTATTTATAAAAGTGGATTTTCTAGTCTGGCATGTCAATTCTAGCATTGTACACATGGATCAAACTCAAGTGTGGAATTCTAGAGCATTATTTACATTCTTTATTGTTTTAGTTATAGCCTGATAGTGTTATATGTTAAAGATATGTAATAATCTCAAATCTGGACATATTTAGGAAAAAAACTACCTTGTACGACTCCATGTAAAATGTTACAATAAATAAAACGTGAACTTTTGCTGTGCAATGGGAATGGTGGGTAAAGCTTTGAAATGAATTGTTTCATCAATCTCCTTGTTATTTTATGACAGGTGCAGAGCGAGCAATCACATTAAAGATGGAGATCCCAGGACCAATGCCTCCTCTGATCCGTGAGATGCTGGAGAACCCTGAAGCTTTTGAAGATGGTGCTGAGACCCCTAAACCTATTGAACCTCCGTCCAGCAATAGCAGCGAGGGCAGTCCTACAGAGGAAGACAGCAGTGGTTCCAAGACTCCTTAACCGTCCAACACAAGCAGGGGGGACACCCTGCACCTCAAACTTTCTCCAAGAGCCATGTTGGCTTCACCCTCTGTTATATGAGGCATTCCAGGGTGAGCCAGTCAAGCAGGGTTACCTGCCTTGCTTGATGCTCAATACTGCTCTTATTTACTGATGCAAAAAGCCTTACTCACTGAGAGGACTGGGATGGGACTTCTATTACAATCAGTAATGCTCCCAACACATCATAGGGGATCCGTGTGACCAATTTTCTCCCCAAATTAACAATATGTGATGGAGCAAACGATGCTTGAAAGTGAACTGGAATGTTTTCAGGAGCCCTCTCCGCTCAGTATTTTGCCAAAGAATCTAATGACCATTGACCCTGTGCAGAAGAGACTGTGAGACCTGAGTGCAAGCTGGTGTGTTCAGTGGTATCAGCACAAGACAGAACAACTTTCCTCCATGGGTCAGAAGCACATTGCCCTGTGTGTACATATGCATATACTTATATATACAAGCACACATATATATATACATATATGGATGTGCCTCATTAAATATATTTGCTATTGCAATGTTTTTATGCTTACATTTTTTTCATTGGCTGAACGAGGTCATATGACTACAAATAAAGCCTGTTATACTTATAAATCAGTGTTTTGTGAGTTAAGACATATCATCAGCTGTGAATGGCATCATCTCGTTATTCTATCTATAGCCGGTTAGTCCTGATGATGAATTCTAAGGGCAGAAGTATATTTTACAGAAGCACTTGACTGTATGTAAACCTAAAAACAAAAATTGTATATATTGCAGCTTATCAGTCTTGTGGCGGCTGCATTAGTTTTCTTTTTTTTGGTGTTTTTTTACTTTCACTCAGTCATGCTGCCTGTGATACACACCCGGTGACTACAGTCACTCAGGTTACTGTACCTATGGAGGAGCAGCATTGTCATCCTAGAACAGGATGAGTGCTAGGACTGCAAGGCACCTCCTCATCTCTATAACACAGGGGGAAGGTGTCATGTAGTTCACTCAGGCAGGGCTGTTAACATTGTTTAAGATTTTAGTGCAGCAGTAGCCGTGTCAGTCAGCTTACTATAGGAAGTTAGGAACTCGCAATTCTGGCAGCATCCACAGGTCTTTTGGGACCTATTACACGGGTATAACAAAATGCTTTCAATGTTATATTTAACAGCCTAAAGGTAGCGCTAAGAGAAGCTCATTGTTCGTGTTTACATACACTTTATAGCTACTGACACACCTATTTATCTGTAAGACTTATGGAAATAATCTATATCTATGCACCTGAGTCCATATCCATTAAATATGTAAATATACCTTCTAAAGAATCTTCAGAATCACATTTCTGGGAGTCTTAGATTCCTAGTCCCCTGCAGCAATTGATGGTTCCTTCTACCATCCCCTACCGTTCCCTACTTCAGAACACAGTAGTGATGAAGATGCTGTCCGGAGGTACTATAGCTTGCAGCCGGGTACCAGGAATCCAGCACTCCTCGAAGTGTCTAATGCTGAAGACATTTGAAATGGTGGTCTCTCTGCAGTCAAAGGCACGTAGTGGGAATAGTATTCATTATCTTCTTTGCACTGGGCACATTATTTACCTTTTTTTGTTTTTGGTGACAGGATCGCTTTAACAATTTTACCTGTACATATACACTTTAAATGAAATGTATGAGCATGGGAAGAATTATGACTTTTTTAAAGCTAAACTCCAGGAATATGAAAAAACTACCTTGCCCCCACACTGTGAGGGTTAAATACTCATTTTTTTTGCCTAGGGTACCAGGGAAAAGGACTTTTGCTTACCTTATCCCTTGCTGGCGCTCACCTCTTCTCTCTTATGCTCCAGCTTGTGGACAGGGCCTCAGTGCCCTCACTTAGAATGCAGGACTGATGGTTCTGCATTATAGATAATAACATCACATTTGTAACTGATGTCCAGAGCTTCAAGGGAAGAGTCTGCAGGGAAGGTGTTGCATGGAAGAAGGAACCTGTGGGGGCGAGTGATAAGGTAAGCATCTACTACTACCCACACCCCTTCCCCCCGCACTGCAATGGTATCTTTTTCATTTTTCTGTCAACCAACTTTAAACTTTCAGGGGTCAAAGTGGAGTATTGAGGGTTTTTTATTTTGTTCGTTTATTGTGTTTGTTTTATGTTTAGATGAACCTGTTAGCATATAACTGTTTGCACAAAGAGGTGTACTATAAAGAAGATACTGAATACGTACCTGTGCCCATGCCACCAAATGCAGCTCTGAAATCCCAAGTTGATGTCTCCTGAGAAACCAAAACTTCCAGGAGTGTTACCCTCCTTGGTCTCTGCAGTGATCAGAGGCTCCTTCTGCCAACCTCACATCACTACCGCACTTAGGACAGTGGAGATCAGCAGAAGGAGTTCTAAATACAAAAAAAGCAACTATGGCAGCTGCTTTGCTCAGTTTGAAACTAGCAAAAAAGTCAAAAGGTGGATATCGGCCAGCGAAAAATAAGCTCTGTAGGTTAAAGAGTTTAGTTAGATGCTTTGGGGTTTTTGTTTTGCTGGCTAGCTTGAGATTCTGCTGGGGAACGTTTGTAATATTTAGGGGTTTTTTATGCTGTCCATGTCTTTGCCTTAACTTTCTGTCTGAAAGAAACAACAGAAAGTGATGGCGAGAGGAAATTTCTATGACGTGAAGCCAATTCCAATGACATCTATCAGGTCCTCATTAGAGATTTTACCCTTACCTCTTGTTCTGAAGCTTTGGATTTTCATCATTTTCTGTGATGGTTATACATACACTCGAATGGCTATACATAGACTCTGATACACCAGTGTTGCACGATTCTTACAAGCTGATGAAAAACATCATCATATAGAAGACAGATTGGCAGAAATAGGACCTTGTTCTGTGCGAACTGCATGTAGAAGTTTACAGCAACGAGACTGTAAACAATGCACACAGTACAATAACCAATATCAACCATCTGATACATGCTCATTTACCTATGCAGAGTGCAGTAACCCAAAACATCCATTCACATTTTGCATTTGATCAGTTTGGAGGGAAGACAAAAGATTAAACATATTTGCTAATTAGTTCGTAAAGATCACTCCACCAGAGAAGTCCTGACAAGAGGGTGAATGCCCCCAGACTACTCTTGGTGTCACCAATAACGGCAGCCATTGAGTGATTGTTCCTCCCTTAATACTACACATGCACATAATACACATGAGCAATACAGCTGTCACAGGGGAGGCCTCATCACCAACAGTAAATGTGGACTCATCTGAGAAACGGCTGCAAGAATATATAGATTTAGCCATAGCGTGGTTTCTGGTTGAGGCCCTCAAGATTCCTCAACTGGTGCAATGACAGATTACATCCAGACAGAAGACCAAAGCAAGTCAGAAAGACAAATAGACAAGCAAAGGTGAAGTCCATAAACAAGCCAGGGCCAGGGCAGCTGTATTCGGGCAGAGTCACCACACAAAGGGAAGGTGGCATTAAAGGTACAGTTGCCTGGCAAACTAAAATATGAAGAGGTATTAGGCAGCAAAGCAACGGTAGACATGCCAGGGTCATAACTGGATGAACACTTCAAAAAGAAGCACTAAGGCACCACAATGTACCAAGAAGGATCTTTTTGCTCAGGTACTGTCCCAGTGCTGTGACACCAGTGTGCCACACTGCAATGCCTACTACAGTCCAGAAGATGTATGTGTGCCTAGAAAAAGCATGCCTGGCCAGTAGGATGAGGACAGAGAGTGCTAACCACCTGAATCAGGTAAGTGTCAAAAAAAGTCAGCTCACAATACATAAACCTATTGAGACTGGCTTCACACCTATGCACTTCTGTTTCCATATGTTATTCTAATGCGGGTGTCAGTAACTTATGTATTTGCAGCGTATGAAACCGCATGTTTTGTATGCGGTTTAGTTTTGGTCACCAATCCACAAAAAGGATGTCCTTGAGCTGGAGATAGTCCAAAAGGAGGGCAACTAAACAAATTAAGGGGCTGGAGACAAGGTTGTTAAATGTAAACTTGTTCGTGCTAGAGATGCCCGTAGGAGGGGCAACGGAGCCCGGGAAGCACGGCGGCGGTGTCCGGCGGGGGGGGCCCTTCTTCGTGGCACAGAAGCGATCTGGCGACCTACACTGTTTAAACAGCCCCGATGCTGGCGACGTACACTGTACGTGGTCAGTCACGAAGGGGTTAAGAGGGGACATGATTTTTGTGTACAAAATGTTTGGTGGTGATGGCAACATCAGCAATTAACTTTTTACTGTAAACTACCTAAAAAGACTAGAGGCCACCACCTAAAATTGGTGGAGAAAAGATTTGTCCACAAAGGGCGTAGGGGCTTCTTTCCAGTTAGATCGGTTACATTTTGGAACTTTCTAGCTCAAGCAGTGGTATAACCAGTATTGAATCATTCAAAAATCATTTAGATACCTATGCACAAACAAACACAGACATGCAAAGGTTGAATTTGATGGACCTGTGTCTTTATTCAACCTCAAATACTATGTAACATACGCACCATGACCCATAGGTGATATTGCACCATAGCCACACAGTTCTGACTATACCCTGAGCCACAAGCAGACAACTCTCCAATGTACTGCAATTAACACTTTGCTCTACCCTCATGAATAAAGCCAATGCTGTACATCCTGGGGTCTGGCCTATGTACCTGCTAGAGGTGAATGACAATATTTGGAAGTGGAAGGAAAGGGTTGGACCTGTGTGGTTATTCTGTTGGTGTTTCTCATCCAATAGTTTTAAAGTGATATCAATATGTGTCATCTGGCTAACAGATAGGCAGCATCCACACGCCAAAGGATCTCCACAGTATCCTTGGCTGCTGACAAGCCTGAAGTACTGCCATCCCAACACAATACAATTGTTAAGGTATTGTAGTCCACATACATTATTTCTCTCATTAAGCCCTGATGAAGGGGATCTGTTTTGGACCCCAAAAATATGTTGGCCACTCTACTTGTATGTCCCCTGACCCTAATGGAATAAAGTTGTATCTAGACTATTTTAGTGTTGAGCTGGGTGACAGGCAGGAAATATACAGTAATTAAAAAAAGTACAATGCTAAGCTAACTGCACCTGAAGTGACCACATCATGTAAGTAAAGTGCATATTAGAACAACAACCATGTC